TCAGAACGAATGACGTCACTTTTGAGTAAACCAGCAAACAAACGACTGGTTTTCCATGATATTCTTGTGATTCTATTTGCGGTTCAATTTTGTTTATACCGTGTGTTGTTTATACCGAATATTGAATCAAAAGTGAAATAACGTCATGGAACAAGGATTTACTAACGTAAACAGTGTTAATTTGTGTTGATGCTGGGAGAGTTTTCACCATCAAATAAGGAATTTTGTTCAGCAGAAAAGAATCAAGAAATGGTAAAACTTCCATCTAAATACATTATTAATACAATAATATTTGAAAATCATTATAATTTAGGTGATAAAATAAATCCAAAAAATAAAATACCTATAAGAAAGCGGTAGTGCAAGGTGAAACCTAACCTGAAAAAAGATAGTTTTTATAGTGAATTTAGACCTCAAACAAGATACATAGGTACTAAATACTATTTTAGAATCTACGAAGTAAATGAAATACTTGCGTTGAAATGATTTGCACAAAAATAAAGGTAAGTAATAGGCAATATTGCTGTTAAATCTCGCCTTGCAAGTTTATAGTGTAGCGAAACAGAGGCAAAAAGTCGCTTATTTACCGACATAAAAAAAATCGGCGTACAACCAGGTGAAATGTTTATATTATTGTTAAGTATCTTAGTGGCTATTCGAAATGGTGATTTACGATATTTTTTAGTGGTCGAGAGATTTTCTATTTAGAAAAATAGCACCAATTTGGATAAAATAGAAAAATGTAAATTTTAAGTTCACACTCTAATATCTCTAAAACTAACAAAGCTAGGAAATCGAATTTTTTACCAAAATAAAGTCCATTTATTGGGCTTTCTAACAGACCTATACATTGCTGTACCGAAATATGTTCTATATTTTTTAAATGACGTTTAAACTGTTACGTCACAAAATATGACTCTAAAATTTCACTAAGCGACAAACTTTTTTATTTTCAACTTTTTCCACATACATGCTGCGAAGCAAAGAAAGAAGAAACATTCAAAAAGTTTTTAAAGTTAAAATCTTTTATCTCCGATGTATAGTTTTTTTGCTATGAATTTTACAAAATCGCGAAATCTTGAAAATTCAGGCGCAGCGTGCACGGGATCAGCCGACGTCAGCGGACAGCGGCTTGTCGTTTTTACGCCATTTAGTAGGTACGATTTAGTAGCTGAAAATATAAGGTCTGTTTCTGCAGAAATTACAAATCAGTCAGAGTGAATTTCATTGGTTGAAACTGGTTTTCTGACTGTTTTCGACCAATGAAATTCGCTCTGACTGGTTTGTGATTTCTGCAGAAACAGACCTATATTTATAATGTGCAGACGGGTCAGTTTTTTTTTTTAAATTAGAAGAATAAAAATAAAACCTATAGGTATTGTTTTTAATCCTTATAATAAAGTAGGTACCTTGTGTTTAGTACCTATTCAACTTCCTCTTCTTCATTTTCAGACACCTCTGTTTGTTCCATGATTTCTTTTTAATTTTTGCACTGCTTACAGCTACACTCATAACAACATTTCAGCCCCTCCTTAATGCAGGTGCATTTTGAATTCATGCTTTTCTCATCTGCACAGTACAAGTTTAAACCTTGTCTTGTCTTATAAATTGGCGCTCTGGTTGTTGGCTCGAAAAGACTGGATTTCAATTCTCATTTTCCAGGATCCAACTATTATATTGGGGATCATTAGACCCCATCTTTGCTAAGTTATTATAAAAACAAAACCAAATTCTCAGCTGTTACATGCACCTAAAATTTTACAATAAAAATAAAATGAAACTTTGTATGAATAAATTAAATGATCTACGTGAATAGATCAACTCAGGTGACTGAGAAAATGCTGATAAAATGTCGCGTTAGTTGATGGTGGCAGTTCTGATGATGGCTAATCGGTTGTTGTAGCCATACGCAAGCAAATTCATTAAGTATTGTTATATTTTTATACAGCGAACAGTATCTAATTTTGTAGCCAGCTTCAATGCTTTATCCTCTGAAAGAAGGGGTAAAATTGCCAAATCTTTTAGTTTAGGAAGGTTCTTTTTTAAGGTGTCAAAAGCAGTCTTCTTCCAACTTTATAAGAAGCACTAGTAGTGTCACATCCGGTTAAGCAGTGAATTGCCAAAAAACACGAACAAAGTTTCTTTACCTAAATTTTCCTGAATTTTACGAAATATCTGAGGGACTTGTATAGTAATCAAGAAGGAGCTGATACACGAATAATTTTTTGTGTAAAGTTATAGTGTATGAATCCCAATAAGCCAACGAATTTTGATAAAATCTATAGATATAGATGTATTAGTTTAATTGATTCATTTTTATTGCTCTTTGTCTACTTTGGAAGCAGTTGAGTTATTTATCGAATTGGGTCATGGAGCGAAACGAGACGATATGTTCCAGCAAATATGGCTGTTGAAAATTCAGGTAAAGAATTTTGTTCCTCTTTTTTGGCAATTCCCTGCTTAACCGGATGAGGCGCTACTAGTGCTTTTTAGTTGGAAAAAAGACTGTTTTGACATCTTAAAAAAAAAACAGCCTAACTAAAATATTTGGCATCTCTCAAAGAATAAAGTATTGAAGCTGGCTACAAAATACGTGTTGTTGCTATATAAAAACACTCAATGAATTACGTTTGCGTATGGCTACAACAACCAATAAGCCATCATCAGAGCTGCCACCAACTAACACGGCCTTTTATCAACATTTTCTTAAATGAGTAAATAATTTCATTTATCGTTCAAAGTTTGATTTTATTTTTATCATAAAATTTTAGGTGCATGTATCAGTTAAGAATTTGGTTTTGTTTTTTCACTGTGAACCCATGAACCCGGGCCTCCCAGTTCTTACGGGCGCCGGGAATTTGTCCCGTCTTCCCCCCCCCTCTCTCTTGGCGGGTCTAAAGATGGGGTCTAATGATCCACAATGTAATGGTTCGATCTTGGAAAATGAGAATTGGAATCCAGTCTCTTCGAGCCAACAACTAGTGCCCCAAATTATAAGACAAGGTTCAAGCTTATATTGTGCAGTAAAATGCACCTGCATTGAGGAGGGGCTGAAAAATGTTGGGATGAGTGTAGCTGTAACTAGTGCAAAAATCAAAAATAAATTATGGAACAATCGGAGGTGTCTGAAAATAAAGAAGAAGAGGTTGAATAGATACTAAAAACAAGATACCTACTCTATTATAAGGATTAAAAACAATATTGGTTTTATGTTTTATTTTTATTCTTCTAATAAAAAAAAAAAAAACTGACCCGTCTGCATATTATAAAATATATTTTCAGCTACAAAATCGTACCTACTAAATGGCGTAAAAACGACAAGCCGCTAACGCCGATCCCGTGCACGCTGCGCCTGAATTTTCAAGATTGCGCCATATTGTAAAATTCATAGCAAAAAAACTATACATCGGAGATAAAAGATTTTAACTTTAAAAACTTTTTGAATGTTTCTTCTTTCTTTGCTTCGCAGCATGTATGTGGAAGAAGTTGAAAATAAAAAAGTTTGTCGCTTAGTGAAATTTTAGAGTCATATTTTGTGACGTAACAGTTTAAACGTCATTTAAAAAATATAGAACATATTTCGGTACAGCAATGTATAGGTCTGTTAGAAAGCCCAATAAATGGACTTTATTTTGGTAAAAAAGTCGATTTCTTAACTTTGTTAGTTTTAGAGATATTAGAGTGTGAACTTAAAATTTACATTTTTCGATTTTATCAAAATTGGTGCTATTTTTCTAAATAAAAAATCTCTCGACCACTAAAAAATATCGTAAATCGCCATTTCGGATGCCCCCTAAGACAGTTAATAATAATTTAGGCATTTTATGTGGTTGTACGCCAAAAATTTTTTTTTTAACATTTCATGGGCTATTTCGCTCCACTATTAAGCCACTTGTCCCTTATCGCTTCATTTTGTGGAACGAACGTATTTTTTTAAATAACTTTTCGGGAGTTTTTATGTGCTATCACACTGAGGAACCGCACATCACTTGTACATTTTGAAATTCATATTTAAATACACAAAATATCCAAATTTTTCAAATTTTCAATGTGCGTTTAGGTTTCGTTTACTCAAACGTGACGTCACTATTGACGCCATGACACTGAGAAGCGTTTTCGCGCGAGTTTTAAATATATAAACTAAAATGTATTTTTGTCTACTAAAACCTTTATTATCTGCGGAAATATGTTATTCATTGTAAATAATATACATTTCCGTAGATTATAGGAGAGTTTTTCAAAATCTGTCATCATGCCTATTGGATGAGTAGGTATTATATTCTAATAGTCAATATATGGGTTTAGAAAAGGCAGGTGAACAGAAAAGCACTCCTTCTATCTGCATTTTTGTTAGTCTTGCCAATGCCTTCGACACAAGGGCATGTGTCGAAGGCATTCGACACATGCCCTTATGTTGGGAAAGCTAAAGAATTCTGAATTTGACGAACATGTTGTCGCCTTTCTGAAAAGTTTTCTTTTTTTTATATTGGTCCGCTCACAAAAGAAAAAGTCCATAGGTACTACCTAAGCGGTACCAAGAGCAGAAGAAATTAAGTCACGATTAACCCTCCGTTTTGGTAAACATACCTCAATGGCGGCGTAGTAAGCAGTCACGTGCCCGAGAGCTCCAGTAATTTTCGATATTCTTAAGGTATTTTTTGAAAGAAAATTTTGAATTTATATTGGAGTTGTGTCAGCAAACCTATGCGTATCTGATGATTTTTGTTATTATTGGTTCAGTGATTACCGTATTTTTTACGGCCCAATTGAAAGACCGTTACAGCGCATTCAAACTAGTCCAGTGAAATGTCGCGCCCCGAACTCGATCCACAATAAATATCGACGATATGGAGAAAATGATGACAAAAGTGTGTACTAAGTCTATCAATCCAATGGAGGAGAAAATCGTTCTGACACTAAGTACCTACCTAAGTTAAAAACAATAATATCTTCAATTTGTGATCGTGGCGAAAAGTATAAGGCCTTATATAATTGCTAAGAACTCGGAATTAATTATTGCCCTCGAAACCCAATTGGAGAACATGGAGCAAGCTTCCAAGAGCAACTGCATCCGAATTTGTGACATGGAAATTTGTGAAAGGAATGACGCTCCAGTGGCGGTATCCTCTTTCATTAATAATAAACTCAAAACCCTGTGCACCTTACAAGACTTGGACTTTGCATTGGTTCTCAACAATAAAGACGATGAACAGCTGGGTCAGTCTGTAGTTCTTGTGCGTTTTCTTCTAATATTAAGAAAAAAAATGTTATGGCTGCTAAGATGTTACTTAACCCTAGAATACTAACCCACGTAAATTTTACGTGTACCTTTTTTTTGATATGCTCGCCTTTCCCAAATATGGGATCAGGATCCAGCCCGCTCAAATTTCAAGAGTGCTTCCCCCAATACCAATAGGAGCAGGCATCGCCTTTGCAACATAAATGCCAGTCGTTTCACGTCTGCCAGATTCACAAGAATACACTTCTGTACGTAAAATTTACCTGTAGTACTTTATTTTAACGAACTTTATTGATTTTATTTGTAATTCGTAAACGATTTGTAATAAAGAAAAATTATTGAAATTCAAATTAAAAACTTTGGCGAGGAAACGCGAGGTTTCAATATGACAGCGCTCGTGTCGTGAAGATTTCGTAAACAAAAACGCAGCAAATGAACTCCTGCTGACGCAGTGCTATTTCTGTGTTATTGAAGTGTGTTAAAGTTTGCTTTTTGTGAAAATTGTCGCAATGGATGAAGAATATTGTATAGGACTGCTTTTGAAAAATTTATTCCACTTGCAAGTTCCCTATTGACAGGTTTGTTTACAGAATCGTGACGCCAAAAAAGGTAGCCATGTTCTGTGGCTATCATAGAAGCATTGTTTTGGCGGGAAATTTTTTATTTCAAATTTAGTATTATTTTTTGTGTAACAAGGGCGGCATCAGTTGAATAAAAACTTGTCATATAAATATTGTGCAGTATAAACTATCGATTTAAAACAAATTTGGAAAGTTTTATTCTACTTGCAAGTTCCCTATTGCTTACTATGCAAATTCTTTTGAAAACTGCCGCTAGGGGAATTTGTGACCAGCGCCAAAGACAATTCTACTAATCGTAGTAGAATGGCATGTAATATTGGAAGCTGAGTTGTGGAGGCATGGGCGCCGGCAGCAGGGTGCAAGGGGGTGCACTTGCACCCCCTGTCAGAAATACATTGAAAACAATATTTTTCATTTTATTATTTTTTTTAAAAATAAGTTACTGTTTGAATCAAGTTATTGAACTCAAACTTCTAGGCGGCGTGATATTTGGACGACAATAATAGGGAACTTGCACATTAAATTAAATATGAAATAAATAATAAAACACAATAACAATCTTCCTAATAAATGATGCAATTAGGAAAAGGACATAATATCTTATCTCTGGTGTCCAAAATCTTCAATTGAAAATACCAAATAATTCGAAATTCTTGACGCGATCAAAAACGTATTTCTATGGGTCCTGACGTCACAAGGGAGTAATAATCGGGTCGCGCCACTGCCAAGCCATGTGCTGCCGGTTTTGTCAATGTCAAATCTATCATAAACGGCCAATGAACTATAAACTACCCGTACCTGGAATGGCCCGCCGATCCGATAAATTTGCGACAAATTGAGATGGAGAATGTGGGGTAAACCTATCTCTATTTATCTTATCGGCGAATTATGGAAATCTTTCTTTGTCTAAAAAATAATATGTTTGAGGTTAGGAATATACTAAACGTAACAGCAATGAACTGGAGAGAGAAAGGGATCCCCCACTATGTAGCTTTTTTGGACTCACTAAGCGAGATGACAAATGCCATACAAATACCATATGCGACAACAGTCGGTGCCATTCCAGATACGTGTAGTTTATAGTTCATTGTAAACGGCAAACATAACAACATAATCATAATCTAAATCTACCTGCTCGAAGGTCACTGTCAACCAAGGACTGTGAACAGAATGGGCTCTTTCACTAATTTTTGAAATTGGCATATTTGGATAAAGCAACTAAAAACAGAATTTTCTGTATTTTTACTTTTGAAAAATTCAAAGTCCTTCTTGAGAAAACAGAAAACAAAGAAATACCTCCAAATAAAAACCCAGAATTTATTTCTATGACGTCGCAGCTCGCAATTTGACCGTGTTGCCACTAATTGTCAACATTGAAAATTTGTAATAGATTTAATTCTGAAATGTTGGCAAAATCTCATGAAAAGTAGTTAAATTAATTAGTTATAGATTCAAGATTTTATAATTTTTTTTTTTAAAATTATGCTTAAATACAATTTAATGCAATTTTTTATGTTTAGTTTTATTTATTTATTTTACGCTGCACTACATTTAGTCACAACCGACAACAGCGCATTCGAACCTTTACGTATCTTTACAGAGCGCAAACACAGCCGAGCCCTTCCTCCTTGCAACGACATAAGCGAAATGAAGAATATTTATGTGACGTCGGCAAATCGGCGCGTTTTAAAATAGTTTGAATTTAGGCACTTTTGATTGCCTATGAAAAACTTATTGAACCTTGTAGAACATTTTTTTTTGGTATATATGCCTAAAATAGTCCCTCCTTTGAGATTTTATACTTAAATTACGTATTTAAATTTTAGTGAAAGAGCCCATTTTGTTGCCGAGTGACGTCACACTAATCGGTCGTTTCAAATGGCGATGTTTCGAGCGAAACTTCAAATATTTATAAAAAAATTAACGGCTGATTTTTAATGCTTGATATTTTGCATGACTATGTCTTTAGACACATTTTTGAAATAAAAAAAAAAATGTGCAAGTTCCCTATTATTGTATTTCTTTCAAGAATTTTGAACACTGGAGCTACTCGCTCCGGTGTTACTCGACAACGGTTTTAAAGGGAGAGATGCGGGATGCAACCAATGACGTTGGTGCAACACTTTGCGAAAGGAATAAACGCGTAGCGCCCGAGAGCTGTTCCGGAGCTCCTCTTAGGTGTAAAAGGAATGCAACTAATGTAGAGTAATTTCAAATACACGCTACGGGGAAATTTCGTTACTCGAGAGAGAAGAAGGATAAACGTAAAGAGACGGAGAAAGACAGCTATTGATTGACAGAAACCAAAGATTATAAGCGTAAAAACGATTGCCTATTATTGACCAGCGCCGATACTATTATAATTGTGATGTCACGTTACTATAGATGCGCGTCTCCCTTTGTTATACTACTATCCAGGGTTGGCAGGATACATATCAATGATAAATATCCTGATATAGTCGTATTCACGAGAGAGTTTGAATTTTGACCGTTATTTTCACCAGTTGAAAATAAATAAAATCCCCAGATCTGTCCCTTTTTCTGACAACTATCAAATAATGATACATGACATTTTGATTTGACACATAAAAATAACAGATTCGGGTCTTTGAATTTTGAATTTCGAATTTTTGTGTGAAATCTTTCAGTTTTTTGCCGTTTACTGCATTATTTTTTATTTGTTATTATCGCAATCGGTTTTTTGGTTTTTTACGTAGTGTTCTGTGCCTTTGTATTTCGGTGTTGCGTTTCAAACCTGGTTTTAGTTTGGATTTAAGTGTTTACTCTTATTATAAGTGTTTACTTTGGAGTCTAATTTTAGGATTTTTGGATTTTAATAACTAACTTAACTTCCTTTAAAGAAATTGAAAATAAATTTTTATTCTGAAATGTATATCACTTTCCTAAATACGACCCTGTCGTTTATCCCAGCTGACGGAATCGAAGCGCTAACGCATGCTGACAACCTAAAGAAAAAGTTTACTAAAAATGTCAACGCGAACTGTCAACTTCACTTTCTATCGTGATTTAGTCTATATATATCTTGATAAATATCATGATATATATCAATATTAATTGTTTGGTCATCTTTTCGTATTTTATAGTTTTATTATTTTATGTAGAGAAGTTTAACGGCCGTAGAAGTATATTTATGAGGAGGAAATCACAAGGATCTCGGTCAAAACACTCTATATTACATCATTTATCAATTATTATTTTATTTATTTTTATTTGTGTATAAGAAATATCAGGTTTTTTAGGGCGGTTATTATGAAACTATTTTGACAGATAACTAAATGTCAACTTCTGGAATTACTATGAGAAGTACCGCCATTCCAGGAGTTAACTTCTAGTTATTCTGTCAAAATAGTTTTATAATATCCACCCTAAGTTGTAGTTTTCTTTTTGTTGTTGAGTTCAGCGTTGTCATTTTTGTTGTTGTTGTTGAACCCAGTCTTAAGGCAAACATAAGTAGTGTAAATGACATAAATGTTTTCATATTAAATTCGAATTTTTATTTACCTACTACCAGAGATCGACCGATACCGATATGGCATATCGGTATATCGGCCTTTTTTAGGTATATCGGTGTATTGCCATATCGGCCCTTCATTGGCCGATAACTTTCGACCGATACAAATCATATTTTAAAAGATCAGCAATCATCACTAAGGCTTTTGTGAAGCCTAAAAGAGCTAATAATTGTGGTTCGTACATATGGGAGTGACTAAGAAGAAAGTAAATATTAAAAATGGTTTTTCAAAAAATTATTTTAAATTAATTAGATTAGGTATTTATATAAAAAAAAACTTAACATTCTGCTTATCTAAACTCAAATTCAAAATTATTTATTTATTTAAAAAAAAAAAACTAAACTTTCTACTTATCTGAACTCGAACAAAGAATATTAAAATTAGGAGAAAACAAATAAATAAAACATTCAAACTAAAGGAAAAGGTGCGAGAAAACAAATAATATATCGGTATCGGCCTTCTATAAAGCCATATCGTATCGGTATCGGCAATATCGGTTTTTTATAAAAAAAACTGTATCGGTCGATCCCTGCTTGCTACACTTATATTCCTATACATATGTATAGGAGATTAGGAGCACTATGGCCACTTGCACCAACATTTTAAGACTAACTTAAGTCGGACTTATCTTTAAGCCGAGACCTAACTCTAAATTTTAGTTGCACCAGCAGTCAAGCTAGACTTAAAGTAGCCTTAAATTGAATTTTCTTAAGTCGCCAAAATCCAGGCCTTAAATTCGACTTAACATAATATAAAGGTGGGTTCTAACAAAAAATTGAATCTAACTTAACATTTAAACTAACCTAACCTAAGAAGTTCGGAATATGCAGGCTAACGACGGCGTTCATACAGCTCCACTTAGCT